TTCGTCTCTATGCAGTTAAAGCTTTAAGTTAAAAGTTTTCTTCAAAAAGTCTTTCTTTTCAAAAAAAAAGTAAATTTTTGTCAAAATTTATAGTTCCTCAAAAATCTAATTTTTTCAGAGTATTTTTTTTTCAAAAATGTTAATCTTTTAAAAAAAAAATTTGGTACGGGAAGTTCCAGCAATTTGCCTTAAGGCACGATGCCATGCGCCCCACTTGTAAACAATATATATAGTACGGGCGCTAGCAACGTTTTCGAGCAAGCATTTTAGTCAGGCTGGTTTTTTGGTATGTGGTCCTTGGTGCTCTCTTGGTTAGAGTACGGGCCATCTGGCAGCTGGAAATGGTTGCGTTAATTAGTGCGCAGCCAACTTGTACAGCGCGATTTCAAAATTTTGAAAAGACTTCGAATAGGTTCACCAGACTCACATTTTTTGTTGCAAGACATTTTGGGCGCTGCTAAATATGTGCCAGACGTCAATTTATTCATTAATTTTTTTAAAATTCAAATAATTTTAGTCCGTCTGTAATTTTAATATTATTTTCGATAAGGGTAAAAACACATAAAATTAATTTGTCAGACGTTTCTGCGGTTGTTAACCATGTCTGGCAATTAAAAATGTCTGGCAATATGATACTAATTTATAGCATTTTAGCCAGAGCAATTTTCATTTTTTGACTTTGAATAGGTTATCCACTCTCACATTTTTGTTGCCAGACATTTTGGGCGCTGCCAAATATGTGCCAGACGTCAATTTATTCATTAATTTTTTTAAAATTCAAATCATTTTAGTCCGTCTGTAATTTTAATATTATGTTTATTAAGGGTCAAGAAACAAAATTCATTTGCCAGACGTTTCTGTGGTCGTTATGCTGATTGGTCTAAAATGGGTATAAAAATATTTGTATAGCTGCATAAAATAAAGTTGTCTCAAAATAATATTCAATAAAACACATTGTTAACACTGTACTTATATTCTAATAATGATTTTCAAGATTTGTTTATATATATATATATATATATATATATATATATATATATATATATATATATATATATGTAATTACATATACAAGTAAGGCACAAAATTTTTATAACTATATCAAATATACACGTTTAAATGCATATTCTGAATTTAGCACAACATCTACTGGAATAAATTGTATAATATTTATAATTATCCACATATACTTCTGTCATACATATTGATATTACTTAGGCAAGTCATGCCAGTACTCACATAATGATATGGTTCATATGATAAGTAATTTTTATGAAAGTTTATGTTTATAATTAAACATAACATATAAAATATGTAGTTTTTTTGAATGTATTAAAATTTATTCTAAACTCAAAAAAGAAAATTAAGTACTTAAAAAAATACAATTAATATACCATTTCTCAATTAACATGTACTCATAAGGAAATATAAAATATCATAAAAACTTCACTCTTTTCCGCATTGGGTATTAACTTAATATGTGGTGGATCTGAATGTTGTCAATATTTATGTTTACTATGGGTAAAATGTTGTAATTATATAAGTAATGCTATAATATCAGTAATTTACCTCGAATATCTTGGATGAATGTAAATAAAAATATATATTATTATACATTTAAATTTTTATGATAAAAGAAACTTGATCGACATCCAGAAAATAATGGAACATTAAAATTGGAGTAAACCACCAAAAACTCCTTTGAATGTGCTTCATAATTATTACTAAAATACAAATTTATTCAAATATTGACAATAATAGTTTATACAAATTGATAATGCAATAACTGCGTAAAGGAATGTTTGCAAATAACTACAAATATATCTTTTTAATAAAATATGTTTATTTGCTCTTTGTATTAAGTAATCTGAGCAAAAGTATATTGAAATTATTTCTGAATCTCTTTCCTATGATACACACAATACTTCATCTTTTATTTACCCATTTTCTAGTTTTTAAAGTTTAGTTTGCATATAATACATAAATTACCATGTAAAAAGTTCATTTTTTTCTTACGTTCTTTTTTTCTAGTTTTTAGTATATATTTTTTAATATATAAATAATCAGTTTTATTAAAATTCTTTATATGGAAAAAAATAAAAAAAAGAACTTCTGAAAAAGGGACAAACCTTATAACCGTGACAACGACCAACTGTCTTTTGAATAAAATGGAATATACCTAGTTAAATAAACTGTTCTAAAAGTGTATTAGGGCGGGTCGATTTGTATGGGTAAAAAAAAGTCGCCCAAAAATATTCACCCAAAGATTATGTCAAATTTTGAAAAATCCTGTTTTGGCTCATTTAGAGCTCCCCAATAGTGTCCAAATGTATGATCGACCTCCCAGTAACTTTGGAAATCCGATCTATTCATGCCCATGGTTCACCCTCTGGCATGAGGCATTTGCATTGGAAAATTTAAAAGAATTTTAGTAAATTTTTTTTGTAAAAAAGTTTTTTGTATATATATGAATTAATATCTGAAAAAATGATTTAAAAAACATTTTTTGCTGAGTAAAATACCAAAACGATGACTTTTTTGCAATTTTTGTATAGCAGACCTCTAGGAAAAGGCCCCAGGGGTTGAGAACCATAGGCATGGGTGGATCGGCCTTCCAAAGTTGGGATTTGTCATTCATTTGGACGCGATTGGAGCACTCTAAATGGGCTAAAACGGAATTTTTGAAAATTTAACCCCTATCTTTGGGTCAATGCATGGGACATCAGAATTCATTTCAAAGATATCGTTTCTTCAGCAAAGTATCTTATTTTGATCCCTAGTATCCAAAAAACATATGTGCGTAAGCGAATTTTAAATCGACCCTCCCTAATATGCATATTTGAACTCGAATCTACTTGTCTCAGTTTCTAAAACAATTCTGAAAAAAGTCGTGTTGAAATTGCGAAAAAAATATCAATAGCTTTTCTTAGAAAAAATTAACCTGGGAGTAATACGTTTGTCTTCAGCTTATTCTTAACTATAGTTCAGTTTATAATAAAAAAAAATTATAAATGCACCAAAAGCTTTGATAAACCCACGAAGAAATACAAAAATTGTGAAGATCATAAAATGTTGAACAAAAATATGGACGGTAATGTTGGCACATTATCAACGATTATTTCGGTCTACCCCCGTACAAAATATTAGCTTAAATTATACAAAATCCTGGAAAAAAATATAAATTTCTTTTTTTAGTTACTGATATGATATATTCGTTTGCAATAAATGTATATTAAAAATATACCTCATATGTTTAGTAATAATAATATTAATTGATTAACTTAATCTAAATTTTTTTTAAATCATTGTTGCATTTACACATTTATTATAAAAAGACTTAAATGCGGCGCATATTGTTAAAACCATATTGAATAAAAAAATGTATCCGTATTCTATTCGTCCCATAATTATTTTAATAAAATTAGTTTTAAAAATAAATCATTAAACGATCGGCATTGTTGCTTATTATTTACAAAACCATTCAATAGCATGGTAAATATTATTTTGTAACTTTGATTGTCAAGTTACAGATTTTCTATTTAATTATGATATATAGTTAAAGTACTTTGTACAAAAGTTAGATCTAATGAGTTCGATTAAGCAACCGACTATTAATCATGATTAGTTATAATTTCATATCTATGTTTATGTATATAACAATGCTATTTACAATTTTCTTAAATATATGTATAATGCCCACTAGATTTAATAATTACATCAAACTTCTTATTAGGCAAGTAAATATTATAGAGTTATGTTAAGTATTTATAGGCCTGTACTACTGGACAGCAGAAATAAAAAAAAACAAACCTTTGACCAAGAGTGAACTGATATTTTACTTGAGGGGCACAACTAGTGTAACCGCCTAAAAAAAGGTGATTTTGGGGAATTTATATTAAAATAACTACTTCATTAATCATTTCAAAATTTTAGGAATATATTTATACATGTTTTAAGAATATATAGTAAAATTTTTGAAGAAAAACATTACATATTTTTTAAGTTATCGTCGATCTCCAACGGCGCGATAAAAAAAGGCCCTTCACTGCTGCAGTGATTCCGGCCTTCTACGTGGATGAAATTAAAAAAAAAATCTCGTTAAACTAGATAATATTGTCTGTAAAATGACCTACGATAAAGGAAAAAATCAAAAATTGACAAAATGACGGCGTTTTTTTAAAAAAAAGTCGAATTTTACCCAAAATTTTGGTTGTTTTTGGACTGCCAAAATTTGATTCTTGATCCGATCAAAAAATCGATAGTTAATTTAAGCAGAACTATAGATAGAACATGTAAAAAAAAAATGATAGTGATCGGATCATTTATTTTTGAGTAATCGTTGCAGCAAATTCGGAAAATGCTGTTTCGAGAAAAACGCGTTTAAAGATTAAATGATCGTTATACTATATACTATATATACTCTTTAAATGGCTGTGACTCAAAAACTATTTAAGATATCGATTTAAAATTTTGGTATGTTATTTTTAAAGGTATAACCTATCAAAATATGGAAAAATTGAAAATTCAATTTTTTGAAAATTTTACACTAGTTGTGCCCCTTAACGCACATTATTAAGATTAATTTTTAATTAAACAATTAATTTAATATAATAACTCATAGTATCAAGAGAATAGATCTGCCCAGATGTATCAAATTTGAATTAATTTTTAAATGCAAATCCGCTGTCCAGCAAGCCAAGTCCATGATGGTAATAATATAAAGAATAGATAAAAAGTAATAGATGAATTTTTAAAACCATCAGACCTGTTTAAAATATTATAATTAAAAATAGCTTATTCTTTTTTGATACGTACGAAGTTAGTAATCTTCATTGACAATATACTCTATGCAACAGGAATCATATAGAAATGAGCACATTTCTTTACAAATATATATAAAATATTATAAATATATTGGATACTTCTGCACATCCAGGTATATAATTTATTAAACCCAGTGCAAACTTTTCAATCATTTTAATATAATTGAAATTCGTTCGGCAGCTAATTTTTATTAATGAAATATAAAACAAGTCATCAAATTTTATAAAGCACATAAACATGAAATATGTAAAAAACTTAGGTAAACAACAGTGATAAGTATTGAATATAAATTAAAATGATAGAAAATATTGCTACTATTAAAACAATCAATACAAGATATGTACACTAATTAATTACTTTACACGTCTCGCACCATGTGCTTGTACCGTTGTATAAAAATGTAATACTTAGATACAAATTGACTATATATCATTATATTTATTGAGGATTTTATTTTTTTCTTTTATTATCTTTATTCTTTACCTATTAGAGTTTTTTGGACGGATCGTAATTTTCTAAAGTCCACTTTTGCCTTGCTGCTGCATTGTCGCAATCCTCCATTAAAAGTTTTTGTTTTGTTTCACTAATGGCCAAACACTTTTCGCTGCTTCCGTGTTTTATTTGATTGGTCTAAAAGTAAAAAAAATACTAATCATTATAAATACTTATTAATGTTAATGCTAAAACTTATATTTGCCACCAAAATGCTTTTAGTCTTATTAATTGCTGATTCTTCGAACAGGAGATTGATAGAGAATCAACCTATTTAAGCAATAAAGGTTTACTTTAAGCAATTGGCGCTCTCTTTTAAGAGATTCCTTAAAAACAGCCATATTTATTAACTAATATATTTTGAGTTCAATTATATCCCAAAAAAAATTGTATTTGTCTTAACTCTGTCGAAATCATCTATCAAATCTTAGAATTTAATTTAATTCAGAATTTAATTAGACGACCAAGGATAATTGAATTAAAGATTAACTAAACATCGTACATTCAAGTTAAATACCGATTCAATTTGAGTTTTCAATCGAACCCTAAAAGTCTTCGTTAGCGCAAAAAATTCAAAACTAGTAGTGTATGCGACATACAATAAAATCGGATGCAAAGTTCTCTCAAAAACTGCCATTTTTTGCACATTTGGCCCCGTATCTCCGAAACGGCTCGACCTGCCTTTGCCAAAATCTAATCATCATTACGAAACATTTCCCCATCATTACGAATCGACTGTTTTTTGAATTATTCAAATCGGTTGATCCGTTCTCTTAAAAACGGATATTTTTAGCACTTTTTGTTTCATATCTTCGAAGCCGCTGGACCTGTCTTCCTCAAAAACTATTCAACACGTGTCCTCATCAATAGAAATCGAATGTTTTTTTAACCATTCAAATCGGATAATCCGTACGCCCAAAATCGTCGACATACATACGCACACACACACATACACACATCAATTTTTACTGAGGTATGCCAAAATGCTCAAAAACCTCTGAAACGTGTTCTTTGAATTTATGTTTAGTTGTCTCTTGACTAACAAATACTACACTTCAGAAAACCGTAATTGATGAAACTCCTTGGTGTTTTCCTATTTGATCAAAAACTTTGAAAAATAGTATTTAACAATTATTTAATAATATTAACAATTATTTTTTCTTAATAACCTTAACAAATTCTACCATTTAAATAAACCTAAACTAATAGTTTATGAATTTTTAATATGATTCAGGATTTTAAGCTAACACTTGGATGAAAAATTTCGCACTTTACTGCTAATTCTGAAGAAACGGTTCAGCCGATCGTATCAGAAGTCTAACTTTTTAATTAACAACATTGAAATAAAGTTAGATTAAATATTTAAAAAATATTTACAATCTCTGCAATTGGAACTTAATATCAAGATAATCCAAAAGCAACCTGAACCGCATTAAAATTTTTTTACGGTTTATAAAAAATAGTTAGATTTTTTATCATTTGAATAATTTTGCTGCAAAAGTAATAATTTTATTTGTTATTTAATTTTAATAAAACGTCGACTAAAGGTCAAAAATCGGCTCACATACACAAACACACACATACACATATTTTTCCCAAATTTGTTCTCTTCGATTCAAAATGAAACGCGGAAAAAACATAGAAATAGAAAATCGTATTTTCTCGCAAAAACAAACTTCTCCTTCGAGAAGTTTGTAACTCCTAACACTAATTGCTTTACTAAGAATTAACACTTAATCAATTATTTTGTTTAAAAATAATTCAGTAATCTGCACTCACCTCATCGTTGTAGGTCCACATTTGGTTGCCCTTCGAACCATGGCACTGATATAATATCACATCTTGACCAGCATAGTCCAGACAGGCGTCGTCCCTTCGAATCTCGCCTGATTTACTTAACATCCAATACTAGAAGGATGGTGCAAAAAATAAAATATTAAAATTATTTATTAATCTAAATTGTATGTGTATAACACAAGAATCTCAAAACTATATTTTTAATATTATATGTTCTTTTTGACGATTTGTTAAGGAAAACAATGAACAAGAATTATTAAACATATATAACAAGTAAGGTATAAAATTATAATCGAATATTAATTAATGTTACAGCTTTACTTTTTATACAATATTATACTAATATATTTATACAGAAGATATTGAAAATTTGAAAATATATTTTGGATATGTATTTTAAAAAAATGTTAATTTAATTGATAATTACAATATTTAAGCTACTTTTCATATACATTCTTGCGCTATACTTTATTAAATTACAACTTCAAACCCCATAAATCAAATTATGGTCAATATTAATAATATTAAGCATGCCTATATTATTTTATTATACTTAATGAGATTATGTTCTGAATAACCTATTATATTAAATTAATTACTGTTGTAAGTTTGAAAAAATTATGCATACTAATAAAAATATGTGTTTTTTCATTAGCTACACTAAAAGGAACATAAGCAGACATACAAGAACAAACAAAAATGATTTTATAACTAACATATAAATTTACATACACATTATATATTTTTTTAATAATACACATGCTTCTTAAAATTTTTGATTTCTATAAATTTTTTAGCTGAAATGTTAATAGCATTGAGTTTTGAATATTTTGAAAATACTCTACCAATCTGCCTTTTCTGCCTGATTTATGATTGGCTTGTGAAAATTTATAACAAATTTATCTATCTTTTTATATAAATTAAGTACGATCAAGATATATCTAATGTTTTTGGAAAAAATAAGAATAAAGAGCTCCCTACGAACATACTTTTTAATTATCAATTCACATTAACAATTAAAAAGTAATTATTGTTTACTAAATTTTAAGTTCCATGTCGTAAAAAGCTTATAAAAATTAAGCTAAAATGAATAATTTTTGTTAGATTTATATTGAATTGAAATAAAATACAAAATTTTAACAAATATTTAAGCATTGATATATTGGACAATAAATATTGTTTTCTAAATACAAAACCGTCGTGAAATTAAAACATGGATTACAAATTTGATAATTATTGTTTCTCGAATCGAATCATAATTTTTGCAAATTTTACATAAATATCACAATGATTTAAATATTCCGAGAAATTAGTAGACCATAGAACTTTTTAGAGTTATTGAATATTTTCAAATTTTTAGTTTCTAAAATTTCATAATTATTTAAAAATTTTAGTTCCGATTTTTTTTAAAAATTTTACTCAATACTTTTAAAATAATTTAAGTATTTCAAAATACTTTTAAAGTAGTCGAAATTTTCATACCAATCATACCAATGGTTTCAGCAACCACTTAGTTTAGTGATGCAATTTCAATGAGATTTTGCCCACTTGGTTTCTGGGCAATACTACAAGAGATGATTATTCAGCATATAAAAATTAATAGGGTAAAATTTTATTCACAATTACACTAATCTATTTAAACACTAAACCATACACATATTTTTATTAAATATGACAATATACCAAACACTAATATACACCCCTTTTCCTCTTCCATATTAAAATATTAATCACCACCACCACCTTTATAAATTGCACCTCACACCAGTTAGGAATGTTACATCATCGTCTTCAATAATAAAAACGATCTACCACCCTACAAAGACATCCTAGTGCTTGTTACCTGGTTGCCTCCTTCGCCGTGGCAAGGCCATAAACCAGCCGGCTTGTGCAGGTCTGCACGTTTGCAAGCAGAGTCGAGACACATGTCTGACCAGATGTTCGCTATCTACGTATCAGAACGTTCGTGCAGTGCAAGAAACAACACATAATGGGAAAAAAACAACAACAAGTGAATAAAACTACAATTACAATGATAACAAAATTAAGCATGTGCACATAATAACCAATAATGTGTATACAAGATCCCTTCATTCAGAAGGAATCTTGTTGGTGGTGACATGAAATCTAATGTGTGGCAAAACACAAACTATGTGATCTCTATACTACGTTATCAACCTGCAAAAAATGTTATTACTAATAGACAAATAACACATATTGGTGCAGCTGCATTCGTAACTAAACACTAACAAAAAAAATATTTTGGTATAGGATGGCATCTTCAGAACATAATCCCATTTAGCTTGTCATTGGTTTTTTTGGTACCTGGTTTCCTCCTTGTCTGTGACAAGGATACAGACCGACTGCCTTGTGCATATCAACTCTTCTTGCAGGAGAATCTAAACATGTTTTGCCACCATACCCGAGATTACGGATCTAAATAGTTTTATTAGTTTTATAATTGGATAAATAGAAGATGTGATATAGACTGTACTAGGGAATGCAATACCGATGGAAAATTTCAATACCGGTAGTTCGGTAATTTTTCATTTTAAAACCGGAATACCGGTAAATTACCGGTATTTTTATTATCTTAAACAAACGTAAACAAAATTGAAAGTTACTAGTACAAATATAAAAATATGTCAACTATATTCAACTAAACAATAAAATAAAACTATAAGTTCATTTTTTTAAATAATAATTTAACAAAAGTATATGCAATTTAATTAATTCATTATCACTATCGAGTATATTGAGTACTTTTCACCAAAAACAAACTTATGAGTAAAAAAGACCAAAAAATCATAAAAGATCATATTACATTATTATAATCTCCAATATTTTAAAAAAATAATTTTTCTACACTAATTTAAGATCTGATTCTTCGTCGAGATAAATGATAAGTTATTATAATTGTTGAGTATTGTTATTCAAAACAATGTGATGCTTCTATAGTATTTTCAAACTTTGAAACATTTTCGAAAAATACTATTTTATAATTGTAATAAGAAGCAAAAATATTTAGTAATTATCATAATTATTATGTATAAAGTTAGAAAAAACTAAAGATTAGGCAGGGGTAATCTGTATGATATAAAATATTTTGGCGCAAATATCACTTAAAAAACCGTTACATTTTTGCAAAAGATGAAACAAACATTATTAACTATCAGTCCAATTCTATTTATTGTAACACGATATAAAGCCCTTTGGAAAGCAATAAAAATTCAGTTTAATGACGAGTTGATATAATATTTGACATTTGTTTATCTTATAGAATCACTTGAAGATATAGCTGTTTATGCGATTATAAAATTTAAAGATAAATTTGTTCTGAGAAATTTAAACTTTAGGGTATTATGTATCAAATAGCGCTTATGTAAAAATACCGAAAATACCGGTATTTTTGGAATAAATACCGGTAAAAATACATACCGAAAAAATATATACTGGTATTGCATTCCCTAGACTGTACTAATTAAATAATCTTTAAATACATATCATAATAATGAATAATCTCTCAAAAATTAAAAAAAAAAACATTCATATTTCAATGTCTGGAAGTAATTATTACAGTACATAGCTTATGTGATATACTTTTACTCAATTCAACAATTACTTTGCATAATTTTGAATGATGCCCTTTTTTATAATTATTTATAATATTCTTCATATATCATGGAAAATTGTATTTTAATTCAGCAATCCAATAATAAAATAAAATCAATAACAAGAAAGAACTAAACAAGTCCTGTCGATGGAATGTGATAACGTTCGGATGTTATATTTACTATTATACGGAATAAATATTTGAATTTATATCTACTGCATTGATTGACTAAAATTTCTGTACTTCCTAACGTAAGTAAAATTTTTAATGTCTAAAAATTCCACTGTATAAAAAGTAATAAACTGACCTCGCCATTAGCAATTGCTTCGCCTGGAATGAACATTTCAGGAAATACTGTATCCAGATACCATTTGAATGGTTTGCACCCAAGTCGTTCACGTAATCTTTTCCTTTCACTGACATCTCCATAATCACCTTTGTCATTACCAATTCGCTGGTAGTAATACTTGGCGTAATCGTCTAACCATACCTAAAAAAAAATCAAATTTTTATTTATGAAATTGAATAAATAATTCATCTACAACATGGACATAAATTTGCAGTAAACATTATCCTATGAAAGTATTTTTGAAAGAGAACTTCTTTAGACGCGATTAGGGTGTAAATCCCTACAAATGCAACGGAAGTGCGTTACGGCAGATAAGATAAGATAAGAGTCGAGTGCCAATGATTCGTCATTCGCTCTCGATGATATCATTTCTATACAGGTCGATTGTGATTAGTCATCGCGTATGTGAATAGAGATCTGTAGTTGTATGCGTACCGGCATCAACGTTGTATGCGTACTGATATCAACAAGGAAGTCGGCACAGATAAATAAACATTTTAAAGTTGCATCGTAGGACAATCGTACTGCCTGAATCAGAAGAATATTTTACCTTGTTCGTTAAAAATAATAAAACAAATTATACAGTTATGCCGTGTACTAAACGTAAGTTTATTGATTGAAATTACTTCTATATTATTCGTAGTTTCTATAAATCTTTGAAGTTATTAAAATAGAAATTATTTTTTAAGCAAGACAAATATTACAGCTGTTCAAAGAATGAGATTATATCGCCAGCGAAAAAGTAAAAAAAACCCAAGCAGTTAATGCATGTATGTTAATTTTAATTACATGCAGTTCTTCAAACATAATTGATGAGCATGATGAGTGAAGTTGCGAAAACAATATTTGTTTAGGCGTTGTTTAACATAATCCACTGTGTGAATTATAAAAGTTATTAATTAGCAACTACTTCATTTCTCTAATAAAGGTTCATTTCCAAATGCTAATACAATGACAAACCGATCATGTCATATCTGAAGCATGACGATGAATTACATTATTGTTTTCAAATATTATACATATTTTTAATGCTATTATAGATGTATAATTCATAATGTATCATTATATAAATGAGTATAATGGTTTACACTAATAAATGTGTGCATCACGAGTGTTACCACATTACTAATAAACATTATTCAAAATTGTTATATGATGTATTTAGTTTTACTCAAATGCCATCTTGTACAGTAGCAAATAAGTTTTACTTCAATCGCGTGTGAACCTTACGCACACTCTTTTTTCTTTTTTATAATTTTTTACCTCTGCAAGTCTGACTGAGTTTCTTTTCAGCACATTGACTCCAGTTCGCCATTTATATGGCGACCTTTTCCTGAAGATGTGACCAACATGCGAGCATGGCACAATTTCCAGTGTTCCACCGCACATCCACGTTTTGAAGGACAATTCTAAGTTTTCACCTCCCCAAATATCGAAACCACTGTCATAGGTTCCTAGTCTTTCAAAAAAGGCCTGGATAAAGGTAATAAAATTATTAAGGGCTTTGTATATATTCATCTAAGAATATTTAGTTGAACAATTTGATAATTATGTAAATGATTAAATACTTAATATTTTTTTAATTATTTATACCTTATCTATGCTAAACAATCCCCCGGCCATGGTAGGGCTCCAAACGGGTTCTGCAGTGTTGCTATGCTTCCGTCGCTCCCGTTCGGGTACCACATGCCAGTTGAATTGGAGCGTCCAGTCAAATCCACCAACATTGACACCACTAGAGTCACGCCAATGGTATTCTAATGTGGTGTCGTCAATAACATCGATCACCGGACACACCTACATTAAATGAAATTCACATTTGTCAATAATATTTCACATAAAAATATTCCAATATAATTTTCTTCTACTTACCACCGTGGTTGAATTTCTAGCAATCCGATCAAGTAATGGTTCCAACCATCCTGTAGTGCATTCACAGTGAGAATCCAAATAGGTGAGAACTGGTGCAGTGGCATATTTGGCTCCAAGGAGACGAGCTCGAATTAAACCTTCACGTTTCTTGGCACGTACTATTTTCACTTTTGGATAATTAGTCATATAGTCATCCAGTTGCTGTTTTGTATGAGCTGGGTAAAGAAGAATTATAATTTTCTTTATTATTTGTTATATACTCTTATCTTGATAAACATATTCGTAGAATACGTAAAGTATTTTAATTTTGCTAATTACATGCTAATAAATAGACTTTGGATTGTACGTTGGAATATTGCTTGTTTATTCTTAACCAACATTTTTCCAGATTCAATTCATCAGAATTGATCTTTTAAGGCACCATTTCAAAAGAATTGGTTTATTTACCATAGTGCTTAAAACCATGCATAACTACAAATGTGTTAGATGTCTATCTTCAGATTATTTTACAACATTTTCAAAATAACTGATGCAATTTTGGAATGTAAGCTCAATTCTTCAAATTTGAATATACGGATATATAATGAATGATGAATTATTTTGGTAATAACCTTCAATTCAATATATGAATAATAATGATGCAATCAAGATTCTTTGCTGTTAATCTGAATTTGTTACTCCTGAATTAGTATGATTATATCAGGTAAGCTATAGTATTTTTTTATTTTAACTAAGAAATGCCTTAATATTATCTTATTGCATCATGTATTATATTAATATCTATCAATGAATTTTATTTGAACTTCAATATTGTATAAAATTTGTTTAATAAGGAATAGAAACTTCTGCTTTGGCCAAAGAGAAGCTACTTCTTTCTCTTTGTTCGTTGATTATGACTAATTTATTGTGATATTGAATCAATATAATATACTGTATCATATATATATATATATATATATATATATATATATATATATATACTTACGCATATCTGAGAAATCGTCGACTAGAATAATTTCTTTGATCAGTCTTTCTGGAGATCTGTCCAGGACTGAATGCACAGTTCGCAGCAAAACCGTCCAAGCTTCATTATGGAAGCAAATAATGACTGAAGTAGCAGGAAGATCTGTCCTGTAGCGTCCTGGTTCCTTGCACCTGAAAAAAACAGGTAATCAATAGGTAAAATTTAAATAATAAATAAACATACAAAGATATACATACGCACGTATTGTATAAAAATTTACAATGTATGTATTGTACAATAAAAAGATGGTTCATCAAGTTGTCTATGAAACTAAGAATTCATGCATACATGTTATATGCCAAGAGGTAAATGGTACTGGACAAGAATTGACCGACAAGGTAACGATGAGAAAGTATAGCAAAAATTGGAAGATGAGGAGGAAGCTTTACTGAAAATAGTTATGATAGAAAACCGGATCTTAATCATATTGGACAAAGAGTATTCTTTTGAACAAAGTTTTTGAAGAAACTTACATTTTTAGCTTAGGAGATCGAGAAGAACTTCATGGACATGGACTCTCTTCATTTACAACCTTTACCAAATATCGTTAACCAATTACTAATTATCAATTACAGCATTAACCAATTCCATCACTTGGTTACTACATATTTTTACATGTGTCTTATATTTTTATTCAAATTGTATGCAACCTAAAACTACTGCACAGAACTTGGTTTTGGCTACTGCATAAATGGTAAATTGAGATAAAAAATATTTTAGCAAGAAACATACTAATATCATCAGCAAATAATATAGTTGATAAAATTTTAGTCATGTTAAAGCTAAGCAATTTTTGTATGGGGGGCCTCTAAGAGTATCAGGGGGTAAACCATGGGCATGAATAGATCGGTTCCACAGTTAGTGGGGGTCGGTCATAAATTTGGTTGCGATTGGGGCACTCTAAATGGGCTAAAACAAAAATTTTCAAAATTAAACCCTTATTTATAGGTAAATGCACGAGACATCAAAATTCATTTTAGAGGTATGGTTTCTTTAGGAAAGTATCTGATTTTGATCCCTAGTATCCAAAAATCATATGTGCGACTTTCAAATCGATCCGCCTTAACATATTTATATCTATAATATGAAAATGAATCGCAAAATGTGTTGGTAAAGCGCATAACTCAACAATGCCCGGACCAATTTGGTCAATTTTTTTTTAAATGTTCGTTGAAATCCAAGGATGGTTCTCACAGCGAGAAAAAATCGAATGATTGCTGTGAAAAGCCTAAAAACAGCCCTTTTCTTTTTCAGATACATACGTTTTCTAACTAAAACGTAGAATCAATTTTAGCTTTAATTCTTTTTATAGTGCATAAATAAATAAGGTGAATTAGAGAATTTATAAAGGTAAACTGGTGGACAGGTAAATTGGAGGATATGCAAAATGGTAGAGAGGAGAACAGGTAGATAGACGAATATGTAGTCAAACAAACAGGTTGACAGGTTAATTGGTAGATATGTAGAACGGGATGACAGGTAAATTTGTAGTCCGGTAAAATGGTAGATTAATAAACAGGTTGATAGGTAAATTAATAGACAAATTGTTAAACAGGTAAATTGTTTAATAGGTAAATTATTGAACAGGTTAATTGGTAAACATTTAGAACGGGATGACAGGTAAATTTGAAAGCAGGTAAATTGGTTGACAGGCAAAATGGTGTATTGATAAACAAGTCGATAGATAAATAGGTTGATGTTAATTGGTAAGGCGGTAAAATGGTAGATTGATTAACAAGTTGATAGGTAAATTCGTAGGCAAATTGTTGAACAGATAGTAGTAACGCTAAACTAAATGTAACAAATACACATATATGTTTAACTTTTTAATTTAATCTAAATTATGGCAAAGCGTGAACGGTTACAGCTAGTATATATATATATATATATATATATTTGTATATGTATGTGTGTGCACTGGCTTGGCTTTTGAGCAAAAAATCTCCCAACTCAACCCATAAAAAACTTGTATAACGTGAAAAACAAATTATTAAAAAATATCTCGCTAAACGAATATCTACTCATTTTAGGTACTACATATTTCAATAAAAAAAAGATATATTAAAATATCTTCTGCCTCACGTATCGGATAATCAACTGATTTCGCATTCTCGTACAGAATATGCGATTTTAAACTCAAAGCAAACATTCGATGGAAATGAATCTTTGATCAAATATTGTAAACATTCAAAGCTTACAAAATCAAACATATACTCGGCAATATGTTATAGATTATGATGATATACGATATAATATCATGATATCGAATATATTTATAAAGTAACAGGCACGCGAGCGCTATAAACTAGCCAGTACGTACCCATATATAATGGGATGGCAAAGCTCGAAAGACAAACACGAAACAATTTCACGGCTGAATAGAGAGACAACTATATGTAAACCAACTATAACGATACATACATACATACATACATACATACATATATATATATATATATATATATATACATATATATATATATATATATATATATATATACAGAAACGTAGATACATGAACCCTTCATCAAAATTTTCAGGGTGATGTATGCTCATCTAGAAAATGTATTATATATTCAAACCGACACTATATTCTTTATAAACAATAATATTTATTATATATGTAGTAGGTAAGTATTATTCAGTTATTATGTAGCAGGTAATATAAAATGCAAGAAACACATATAATACTTGAAACCAATTTAAAAATAAATATTTCGAAATTTAACGAAGGTAGAAATGGTTTTGTCGATCATGAGCAATATTACGTATAAGCACATATACTTGCAAGCACTTATTTGATTTATTATATCGTCTCTAGACCATAGGTTCCCAAACTTGTTTGTGTCGTGAACACCTTAGGCTTTGCCCTATTTAGCGTTTTTTTAATTTTTTTATTTGTACTTGTGTTTAGTATTGAACATTCAAAGTAAAGATTCAAATACAAGTTTAAACATTAATTAATTGATTTTAAAATAATAAAAAACATAGATATTAACAAAAAAGTGTTGTGATCCACTATCGTGTATTTCTTAAATTTCTTGTCGCTGATCTGAACCCCACTGGCCTAGACCTATGAATATCTACCGATTAAATAATCGACTTGTCGTATGGCCGTAATATTTTAGTATGATCTATAAAACTATGGTATCTACCGTCAAAAGAAATTCATAAAAATTGCCGAAAAAAATGTTTTGAACACTTTATTACAAGAGAACGGCCCGGCCGATCTCTACCATAAACTAATCAGCACGATTCACAACCAATATCTTTTGAACGGTTTTTGAATTTTCAAAATCGATTCAGTATTGCGGGCTAAAACGTGGACGAAAATTTTTTCACTTTTCTGCTGCTTATAAAGAAACGGCTTGGCCGATAGTCGCACAAAATTGACATAGTCGTCATCGAGATACATCGAATGGCTTTTAAATTTTTGAAAGCGGTCCAGCCGTTTTTGAGAAAAGGTCGATTTACGGATAAAAATCTGTCCACACACACATACATACGTTTTCCAAATTTGGTCTCATTCCATTCAGGATAACTTGAAACGTCAAGAAAACAAAATTAGCGAATCGGATTTTTATATGAAAGTATAAACTTCTTCTTTGGGAAGTTAATAATGTACTATAATAAAGGGTTTACAGCAAGCAAAAACAGTAATAAGGTACATTAACATATTTGATTTAATTACATTTTTATATAAATAAACAGATAGATGGTAAATCTATCGAATAGGTCATAAAATGCCATTTTATTATTTTGGAAATGTGTGAACTTAAAACATAACATGAAAAACTAATATTGAAACTAGCAGTTGTTCGAAACTTTATAGAAAATGAATAAAAAATAGAAACTAACATTTATATACACATATTCAAATGTATTTTTATTGGATAAAAAAGTGTCAAAATGGATCTGCACACAATTCGTAAACATTTCTACATTGAACAAAAAAATAAATATATTATTCTGTTCTTAACAGCAAACTACGTGTTTCACTCGTAATGTACAATAAACTCGTAACGTGTTATTTTCATCTACAGGGAAACTCAGTGGTTAACCAACCTTTTTTGATATTAGTATGTACCACATTAGATATGTATTTCTAATAGTTTTGATTTGTATGTGATGCAGTAATGACCAAAAAGGATGACTTCACTTGAGATCTATAACCTCAAGTAGAAATTTCATAGGATACTGCTTGATATCGAGCATGGCTGAGATTGGAATAGAAGTTGGAACTAGGTTGTGCTAGTTCAATGCATTACCAGTTCGGTGAGGCTGGCTCAAATAAATATGTAATAAAATAAAACAAACGAAGTTGGTGAATTAACAGAACTTTGCAATTTACAAAAATTTCTAATTGAATAAATTAAATATCTTTATATTAATATATGTATGCAGACGTCACGATTTTGTACATCAGTAAAAAACCACACCCTAACAAAATATTGGCATTTTTAAGCATAGTTTTTACATCCACCAATTTATATAGAAGTACTCCTCTCTGATACATTACTGAAGTACTCTTTTACTATAAATGTATGTCGTTGGGAAATTGAGCCTCCGGCAAGAGAAGACAAACAAAAGCCGTAAATGCATTTTGCTCTTGTCAAATAAAGCGAAACGGTGATCATTGCGTTTTGTACATAATTACATAACACTTGAAAACAGACGGCAGTTCCGAAGCGAAGTACATCAATGTGCATTTGTGTCGTACAATGGGTATCCATGTACAAACTGTGCTCAATTGATGTAAATGGAATAGCTTATTTTTACTTAATTAAAAGATAATGGAAATTTCTATTTATATAGTAACTAGTTGTGCATTGCATGGTGCCTTAAGACAAATTGCTACAACTTTCCGCACCGTAATTTTAAAAGCTTAAAAAAATTTGAACATTTTGATTTTTGAAACATTCGCACTTTGTAGCTGTTTTATAGACGAAATATCAATCAACTCTGCATCTGCCTTTCTGAAAATTTAACTAATTCTTCATTATAAAAGCTCTCAAACAATCAAATGCAATTTTTGGCACTTTTTGCAGGACCGCTGGACTTGCCTTTGCCAAAAACTTATCGGCACATCTCCCCACCAAAAGGAATCCAATGTTTTTCATCATTTAAATCGGTTGATCCGTGCTCTCAAAAGCATCGGTCAGCAGTGTTCAGACATACACAACATTTTTTTAAGAAATGCCAATATGTTCAGAAACCTTTGAAGCGTAAAGATATGCAAAAAAAATATTTTCGATTTTTTTGCGATTATTTAGTACAAGAGAAGTTAAAATGGCTAGAATTGATTTCAATAGTTCAATAATTATCTCATAATAATTGAAATTTTATTTATAATCATTAAAATTATACCATCATGATTATATGCTTTTGCAAAAGTATTAATATTAACTAATAATATTATTAATAAAATAAAAATAATCAATATAATAAATTAATTAATAATAATTAAATTAGTGTAATAAATATTAACTAATCGAAAATCTTGTGTATTGCTCATAAATTATGAGCAATCTTAACTATCAACAATATAATTTAAAATTCTGTAAAAATGTAATTTTATTAATTAAAAAAATATATAAAATTTTGTTATTTGTCAAAATCGAAATTTATTAATATTATAATACGACACCAGTCACTGTGCTTGAAGAGGTTCATCAATAAAATGATGTATAACTTTGCTAATTAATAACTATTATTAGATGTATAGTATATATTATTAATTTATTTTTCATAAAATTTTGCTATCTACTGCAAAAG